GACCCCATGTGAGTCAGTAACACGTATGATGTTTCTTTGCTGTTTATTGAACTAAGCTTATGTGTCTAAAAAAGAAACATCTGTACAATTTGTGTTTGTGAACATCATCTGCGATTATGTTGATATTTTTAAGAGATGTAAGTTTTAAACGCTACCGACAGAGGCCACTTTCTAGTCATGTGAATCAAGTGATTTATAGCGAAAAGCATGTCCGGACCGTGAATCCGAGGGTTCGTGGCTCGAATCTCGTTGCTTGTAAATGTGCTACGTACTTTGGAACCGTGGGTGTGCTATAAGAATGACGGGTAAATTACACTCTTCGGTAGTTGTCTTCTCTCTAGTTCATCAGTTCAATATAAGGGACTCGTACGCTCAGATAGCCCTCGTGTGGCTTCGCAAGAAAAGTTTAAACAAGTAAACACAATGCTCATCATGGAAAACATCAGAATACTTTTCAAAATGCTGAAATAACTTTATAAGTAATGCACCCATCTACTCCATAGGTTTTTCGGCCGTTGGATCGTTTGCTAGGTGTTAATTTGAAACTGGTATTGTTTATGGTATACACTTTTGTAAGAAAAGGGACAATGTTGTAAAAAAAAAATGGTTAAAACTTTCAAAACCAGCATTAAAACCCACTTAAAGTGTATTTTAGACGTGGTGTTTGAATTGATAGTAGGAACTGAAAAACTGTTTATTTCGACATTATACCTACACAACATAATTCATGCAGACTGGATAAATAACGTGTACGTGCTGAGAGACTACAACTGTTTTATAGTACTGTACTATATTATGAATGAATAAAGCAAACTTATTAGAACTGTAATAATATCTGGCACCTGTCAAGTGGAGTAAAAACACACACAGTCGATCAATAAGTAAGTATTTACTTCACAAAGAAGGTCATTTTATGAAATAAACGTGATACAAAGGGGTTCAAGAATACCATTAGTATTTAATGAATATACTTATTTGCAATATTTAATCGGAAATAGGGTTACACATTGTATTTAGAAGATCTAAAATATGGGCCTATATGCGATTGTGTCCCACTTCTGGCGTAAAATTTGGGTGAGGGATGGTTGATGGCTGAAGAAGTTCGTTTGTAATATTTTCGCAAGGAACCGTGAACCACATGCTCGATTGGGTTCATTTCCAGTGATTGGCCTAGCCATTGGAGAATGGTTATTCGCCGACCTTCAAACAGTCGTTTTCTGACTCATGCTAAATTAGTAAGATCTCCATCTTGTCTTTAAAACTGGTTATTGGCCTAGACAGATAGGAGGCCTTGATCACGAATTATAATGTATCGAGCAGTAGTAACTGTCCTATCGCTTATCTCCACTGTGATCGTATAGCTGCCCAAATGGTACAGTATTGTTAATGTAACTGTGGAGAAGACTATAAAACGACTAATGAATTTTTAAAATATTTCTGGTCTCTGACAGGTTAACACTCAATAATAATAATAACAAACTGACATTACCTGTTATTATTCTGGGAAACTCCTGATGACCCTTTGCGGAACCCTGGGATTTCAAGGAATACAGTTTAAAAACCACTGACCTAGAGTATCACGTGCACGTTTTAATAGAATAGATTTCTATAAGGGTGGACATCCAATGTAGAAATAAAAACTGGTCTTTTCTACTGGCAAGTCGGGTAATACCTTGAGGTAAGAACTTCCTTTCTCTTTGAATGGGGATGACTAGCAGTGGCATGGTAGTATACACGTCTTAAGAAGAGTAGCATTATTGTTTCTTGTAGATAAAGCAGCGTCGTTGTTTTCTTGTTAAAGCTGGTACAGTAGTTATTTACAAAGATTTTGAGAGGTGTACTTCTTCACTGAGAACTTTTACACCTGCAGAAAAGGTGTAATCTCCTTAACTTTGATTGTGTTTTTTTTTCGGAGTCCGAGAATTTGCTCCAAGGAAAATAGGAGCATCGGAAATTACCACATTCTTAACCGAGCAGTACTCATATTTATTTATGTTGGGGGAGGGGGGTATTGAATATTGTATTATTCAAAACTTTAAACTTAGATTCATTTATTATTTATATTTCTTGAGGTTATATTTTAATGAAATAATGACTTATTACATCAATAATATTATAGCACCACACAGAGGTACATATATACAGAATAGTATTCATGATCTATGGATGATTATGTAGATATTACAGTTCCTTTTTCCACTATTAGTGGCGTTATTTTCAATCGCTCTGGTTGTGAACTGTTTTTATGCAGTGCAATTTACACAACAGGAGAGCTTTGAGCAAAACTGAAGTTAATGGTGTCTTCTTTCTTGCATGCTTTGTAAAGTCCATCAACGATGCATAGAGAACTAATTTCAAGGACCGGTTTGAGCAACTGAAAGGGACAGAATAATTGAATAGCATGTATTCCAATTTATGCTTGCATGTGTTGTGGATTTGGCATGGTAACTTGAACTTGTAGCTGGATGTTTTATCTTTTTTTTGGCATCCACTTCATACAAAGACAGTTATGTTAAATTGCTAGAACTTTTCCAGCCACTTATCTGGACATATGCTTGTCCCCTATTAAGATATACTTCAATTTATGACATATCGAATACTACTCCTATAGTTTTCGACAGTTAATTTTCCATTTGCAGTGAAATTTAAAAGAACCTTTGGAACAAGGCTCTTGTAGATTGGGTTCGTGTGAATTATACTGTTTACAGTTCTAAAGGGAGGTTATTACTTTATCTGCAATAAACCACTATGTTATTGGGTTATTTCCGGTGACAGGCTGTTGAACTTTCTTCTCTGCTTCTGGTGTATAACTAGTAGCCAGTCGTGGAGTAGCCTATGATATAGGGAGTAATATTTTAACAAAAACGTTTTGTAAACTATGATTATGATATCTGGTAAGAAATTATTGTTTAAATTTTGGAAAATTGTAAACATATTATATATTATTTGAATTAAAGGAATTAAGATTACCTGTTACTAGCGCCATCTGATGAAATATAGACGCTTTGTATAATATCGGAAAGCTATACCTTTATTGGTATTTGCTTTCAGGATTTTATCCGGGTGGGGGATTTCGTTTGATGACTAATATGGCACCGGACATTCAAGAGCCGAATGTGCGGCGTATTTAATACAGATGATCCGGTTGTATTCCCCAAGAATTTTGTACTAGTATGCCTAAAATGATAGTTTTAAGTGTACCTAGCTTTTTCTCGGAAAAAAATATCATCTAGAAGTAACAACCTTAAATTCTGAAACAATCTAGTGGGGAATTTCCTCCTCCCCTATAGAAAGAAAACTCCTGCGTTTATAAAAGTTTTTTTTTTCACTGTACAGTAGTACCAAATATAGGTATCTAATCAAAAATACCTTAGATGTGAAAAAAAGGATTGAGTCATCATCTTCATCGGGATAATATTAAAGAAAAATATTAATAAAAATGAACTGATGAGCAAACTAGAGTTACATAATACATGCAAAACCAAGCCCTAAGTACCTCTTCTCTCTAAACATCATAAATGTGCATCTTACAGGACAAACAGTGCTAGGCTAATTGAATCCTAGACACAAACGTAGTTCTGAGTGTGTGACTTAAAGGAATGAAATCAAAATTGACGGCCAATTTTGATTTCATTTTTTTAAGTCGCACACCCAATCCTTTTTTTGCCGCACCTTTTTTTTCACACCTAAGGTGTTTTTGATTAGATATCATGACCTTTTGTCAATACACACCAACAAACCACAGCAAATAAGAATGTGACACTCGATAGTAACCCACATTAATTTTAGGATTGCAACCCTATTATTCAGAACAGACCTTTGCTTTACAGAACTAACCAGATTCTTTAAAATATATCGTGGTAGTTTTTACTCTATAAAACAGTGACAATAGCTTTCTTTATAGTAACGCCATGGAATTTAGATTAACGATTTCTTGTCATCACCCCCATGCAATCCGTACAGCCGTATGAAGCATCATTATTTATGTTTATTGCTTAAGTTAATATCACGCGACGCTAAACGCTCTTTAATTAGGATAATTTCATAAAATTTCGTAAATTTATGCCTAAAAGTGGGCAATGAATAATCAATAATAACCATCCACCCGTATGATTCTATTGAAAACTTGAGCTAGAAATTGCTAATATAGCTTGCTTGGCCTAACCAATACTTATGTGTCTGCACGTCCTTTCACCTTATCGTTTTGCTGCTCTAAATCAGTTGTCTTTAATCCGAATAACAAAAATTAAAAACGGTCTACTTTTACTCTGAGGTGAAGCTGCAATAAAAATGTTAGACCGTGCGCAAAAATGTTCATCAAATTTGAGCGTTTTTTGTTGAATAACTTTGCATATGTGGCTTATATTTAAACCAAATGAGACTCGTAATTGTAGATTGAAAAGATCTATCAGTGCACCAAATATTTAAAAATATATATATATATAAGTTAAATCTGTTTTTCTATCAAATAAAGTTTCCGTATGTTTGGCGCGAAACAAAATTAAAGTTTTGTCGATGGATAAAACAAGTAATATATTTTAAAATATTTGTAGTTTTCAAAAGTCATAGTGTTTCGCTAGGTTTACCTAGCATTGTCAGGTGGATAAAACTGAGTGATAGAACGGAACCGTTACGATGGTTACGAGTTATGGTATCCCTTTTGAAAGTATAACGCATAACGTTGTTTTTGTTTTTTTAAACTAAAAATACATTACTTTTTTTATCCATAAACAAAACTTTAATAGACAGGTGTGTGTAATAGAGACGATAGGATAATAACACTCAGATGTAAGTTGGCATTTATCAATATGTTAATTCTGATCACAGAGTTAGCACACAGGATCACACGCAAACTATTTGAAAGCACTCGAGTTTTGGGTCTTTTTTTTTTAAATCCATTGCACCTTTTGTGTGTGCTAACTCTTTTTATCAGCGGTAAGTCTGAGGGTTTTTAACACTAAAACACTATTAAACTAACACCTTTTTTATGTATTAAACAGCAAAGTTCCAGCCTTTTTGAACATAGTGGACATAGCAGGACTCGTCAAGGGAGCCAGTGAAGGCCAAGGACTTGGAAATGCTTTTCTGTCTCATATCAAGGCCTGTGATGCAATTTTCCATCTGTGTCGTAAGTACTAGTGTTTAATCTCGAACCCGGTACAATAGATGCACCCAGTTGCTGTTTAGGTGAGATATACTACTGTAAGACAGAAATGAAAGCGGATACGTACAAAACGCTATGAAGACCTTCAAATTATCGACTTGTTTTTATTCTTTGTATAGATAATTATGTTTGGATATTAATTATCTATAATTATTATAGATAATAATTCCACAAATTTAAAGGCTGAGCATGATCTAGAAGTGCTAGGATTTGTGAATCCGAGGGTTCATATCTCACGTTGTTGACTACCTTCCTTCCTGATGAGCCCTGCTATTGGGTGGACATACCAGACATATTATGAGCCCTGCTATTGGTTGACATATTGCGACACATTCTTTATATTCACTCATAGGTTCTCACATTTACCTCTTTTCTTTCAATTTAAAATGTGAAAACAGCCCTTTGTGTAGTTTTTTATACTGATTATTATTATCTTTACATAAAACTAATTAATCTTACATGCATTTAATTCTTCATGTGTTTATACCATCATTCTTAAGGCCCATGAGTTATGGGCTGTAGTTTAATTCTTCATGTGTTTATACCATCATTCTTAAGGCCCATGAGTTATGGGCTGTAGTTTAATTCTTCATGTGTTTATACCATCATTCTTAAGGCCCATGAGTTATGGGCTGTAGTTCGATTCGATAATTTATATAGAGCAGTGGTTTTGAAACTTTACGAGGCCATGGAACCCCACTTAGATGAAACTGACCAAGTTCATTACGTTATTGTTAATGTAAAATTGTAAATAAGTATACAAAAATACTCATGCTTTTTAAAAATGCATTTAGTCCCTGGTGGGTTAACACTCAATAACTGAAAAAAAAAAAATCTTTGCGGTATGTGTTAACCCTCGAGTAGGTTTGCAAACGTACAATCTACAGATGTAGATTAGTGCACAGTCTTCTGACTCCTCTTTATACATAGGTTAACATTGCTTTAAGTTAAAGATACTGAATCGCCCTTTTTTTTTTCGAGGTTAATATTGCTTCAAGTTAACATAAATGGAAGGGCGGACGATCGTCTGACTCCTCTTTTCAATGAGATTAGCATTTTGGAGGTTTTAATTTTACGTGGTGATTATAACCAGATTCAATACGAATGCCTGAACGTAGTTTAAATGGGAACATGCGGGTGTAGAACTCAATCTACGGTAGCTGTTCTATAACACTTAGCGCCCCACGGGGTTCTGACATCATAATATACCTCCCGTTGTCATTTCCCTGCCATAGCTTCCACCAACTCCACCTCCCAGAAGTGGGATGTCGATTCATTGGACATTGTAAATTGTATATATTTTTAATTAACACGCATGTATTGATAGTAGAAGATATTAAAAGTGCTGATGGAACAGCAAGTATATGAAAGTGAAATATGTGATACTCTTTACGTTTCAGGCATAACATTTTTGGTGGGGAGTTGTAAGCAAATTTAACAGATCTACCAGTTTCGAATGCCGTCGGTTTTCACTTTATATTGGCTTAACGAAGACAGGGTTCGTTGTAGGCTGACAAGCTATATGCTTTTCTCACTGTTGTTCTACCTACTTACATCTCAAACTGTCTACGTTGACATGTCAATAATGCACCTACACGACTTGTCTTTCAATTGACCTGTTTTGTACTGAAGCCACCATTTTGTTTTTATTTATTTATATTTTTGTTCAGATATTACACAACGGTCCTGTTTTTGTGTGTGTGGTGGCTTTAAAGAAACGACAACTTAGTTATTTTCCTTTACCTATATATATATATATCTTTTCATCTCGTGGTTTACAGGCCTGGTAGTTAGGGCACTCAACTTGCAATCTGGGAGTCGCGAGTTCGAATCTCGTCCCCGAACGTGTTTGCCCATTCAGTCATGGACAAGTTATAAGGTGACGGTCAATCGCACTGTATTTGTTGGTAAAGAGTAGCCCAAGAGTCGGCGGTGGGTGGTGTTGACTAGCTGCCTTCCCTGTAGTCTATCACTTCAAAATTAGGGACGGCTAACGCAGATAGCTCTCGAGCAGCTTTGCGCGATATAAACGTGGCGATTGGTGAATCATGAAAATACTTAATTTTTGAAAACCATCAGAAGTTGTATGTATGCATGTGCTTGTCAATAGAGAATAACGTATCAAAACTTTTATTCTCTACGTACAATTCATTATAAAAGGGGAATCAAGAGGATGACATATTTCTGGATGATTTCGTTTTTGACATTACCTCCTATAATCTTGGGGGTAATCGCACGTCACACGTCTGAATTTCTCCCACACTTGAAGCTGTTAGCATCAAGATAAAATTGATTGGCTAACTTATAGTTTTCTAATACTAGTGATCATGGATATTGTTGAATAATAATTTCGGCCTTTTAAGTTCTCGGGAAAAGTAAACCGACCTCTCGCATGTTGTCACACTGAATTTTAAGTGATTGATATTTCAGAGCTTCTTATGGAAACCCGACGTGTTTGCAGAACAAGGCTGTCGCGTTTATAGTGTGCACGAGTTAACCCTCAATTACAGCTGATCAGTGCACATGCCGTGGCTAGAACGGGCGTGCTTAACATAAGCCTTATGAAATACAACTAAGTAAATCATTGTGACGAATCGCTAGTCAACTAAGGTAGTTATTAAAAGGTAAATGGATGAAGCCTAACGTCTCGGATAAAACGGACTCAGGTATGCACTGCCAAAGGTCGCTGTTGTTGTGGCCTTGGAACCATGGCGGTCACGTGGACTACTCGCGCATAAACGGCAAGGGTTCGGAAGCAAACAGGCGGGACTCTTGTGTTGTATAGACTTTTGAGAGTTATTACACATGTAGTACATTATAGAAGGAGGGGCAACTAGACTTGGCCGTTTTTCAGTACTAACATACCACGAGTTGTTGTTTTTTTTTGATACGCACTGTCTTTTGTGCTATGCATATTTAATAGGTTTTCTAGGAAATAGTAACACGTCAGTTACTGGTAGTTGTTGATGATAAAACGATCAACGACGAAATCTGCGACAAAACATTTTTTACTAAAACAGGATCTGTCAATTTGTGTGATCACTTAAAAAATATAAAATAACACACTATCACTTAGAATATATAAATTAACTCTCGCTTAAAAATTATAAAATAACACACTGTCACTTAGAAATTATAAATTAACTCTCGCTTAAAAATTATAAAATAACACTATCACTTGAAAATTATAAAATAACACACTATCACTTAGAAATTATAAATTAACTCTCGCTTAAAAAATATAAAATAACACAATATCACTTAGAAATTATAAAATAACTCTCTCTTAAAAATTATAAAATAACACAATATCACTTAGAAATTATAAATTAACTCTCGCTTAAAAATTATAAAATAACATAGTATCACTTGAAAATTATAAAATAACTCTCGCTTAAAAATTATAAAATAACTCTCACTTAAAAATTATAAAATAACGTACTATCACTTAGAAATTATAAAATAACTCTCGCTTGAAAAATATAAAATAACACTATCACTTGAAAATTATAAAATAACACTATCACATAAAAATTATAAAATAACACACTATCACTTAAAAATTATAAAATAACACACTATCATATAAAAATTATAAAATAACACACTATCACTTAAAAATTATAAAATAACACTCTTTTAGGGCAAGCCTGAAAGATTCACCAAGTTCATTCAACTGAAATAATCGTCCACTGATCGGTAAGTCTTACGGCTTAGAACGCTAAGCACAGATAGCTCATTGTGTAGCTTTGTGCTTAATAACAAACAAATAAACTGAAGGAATCGAAGACAGTTAAAATGTATTGATGTAAAGCCATTTTACCAAAGACAGAGGCTTAAAATAATGTAATGGACAAAATATTTAGAGATGTAAGCGATCAAGTAATTCATAGTTTCCTATTCGATTTGAAAGTTTTGCATAGTAAGCAAACATGATAATCAGTGATGGGCCAGAAAGGATATTTATCCCATACCTAATTACAATATTCAAAAAACTCGACTGATTTAGTGTTCTATATGAAACCGACGCCACGAACATTACCACGTTCAGTAAAAGTTCACATAATGTTTCTTTTCCGCTGTTGGTTTAACTACTACTGATCTATCTCCTTTATATCTTCTTTAAATGTTATTTATAGTTGTGTATTAGTTCACAGAAATGTGGAGATAGCGTTATAACGACGCGACTCGAAGGTTTAATATTGTATATAGTAGGCAAAGAAGTAAGCCACACACGCACGCACATACTGCACACGTGGTGCGTGAGACTTTAGAAAGTTGGGAAAATGATTCCTCGACTTCTCATAGTGAGGCTACTTATCACAAGAGATGACCAATCCTCTAGTGTCTGAAACATCTCCGATACCCAATTGGTCAGTAGAAATCGAAAACAAGAAAGACGTTTTGAATTGACAAATCTATTATTACTAATTCGCGACACTGGTAGCCTCCCAGTGTCTCAGCAGATCTACGACGATAAAATTCAGGTTTCGATACCCGTGGTAGATAGAGCGCAGGTAGCCCATTGTGTATCTTTGCGATTAACAACGACCAGTCAAACCAAGTGCGTCACTGATTATTCGGCATGTTAAGTTGATTATTATCATACAATTGGTAACGTGGTTTGAATATGTTAATATTTTGAACGTGCAGTTCGCTAGGAAAGGTTCAGAGTTGTAATTTGTAAAATGCGTATCGTTCAATGCTTTAAAATATCAGATAAGTTGAAAAAGTTTAATGTAGGTTAAGGTCAGTATCAAGGACATATTTATGGTAACCGGGAGTTTGCTTCTAAAAGGACAAAAGGCTAAACAAACCGGGTTAAGAAGTCCCTAAATTTGTCATTTCAGTTTATTTTAAGGTAGTGGACTGTACTTTCTGCTTCAAATAACAATGCTTTCGTATGTTCCGAATCTAACGGAACAAAATTTTTGACCAAATGCCATGATAGCTAAAACTATATAAACAAATTCTTTCTCTCGTAGTTTTACGTAGACACAAGTGTTTTTTTTTAGAATAGACAAATACCTTTTTTCAGCACGCGCGCGCGAACACATATATCAGTCTTTATATCAAAACATGCTTTTCCATGTAAAAAAAAACAAAAAAACAAAAAATAACGTATTTTAACATTTATAAGTTCTCGGATCTTGACTCAAGTGCACATTACCAAGAAGGGCGTTTCCCGCTATTATCTTTGTGAGAATGCTCATTAGAATTAATCAAAACAGCATATGGGTGGATCACTTGCTAAAATTGGATTGATAATGTGAATTAAAGGACTGCCTTTTTGGTTATGCGCGGTATTATTAAGTAGTATGTCATCTTCGCACATTTGGAAAGCGCGATAATTGCGCGTGTTATTAAATGTGAGCATTTTTTTCTTCTTGTTGTCGTTGTTGTTAATTATTAGTTCATTATATCGTTTTTGTTAGAAGTTGTTACACATGACTTTTGAAAAGCTATTAACAGCCGCCAGTTGTTCTACCTCAGGTTTATTTGCATGCGAATTGCACTTTTCTTATTAACTTGAAAATGTTAATTAATTAAACTATACAAGAGTCTCTTTTCGTTTCCCAGTTCTTGTAACGAAGTTGCACCGCTGGTTAGTGTGGGCGATCGTCCTGGCAAAGTGTGGGGGTATAGTATGGTCATCTGCGCCAAACCTAGATGGCAGTCAATCCATTTAACCAGCCATTTTTTTTCTTCTTCATCCTGTCAAAGTTAAATTACAGGGTACGTCGGTACATCTAGGGCGGGGGAGAGTGGTGGTGGTGGTGGGGGAACTGTATACAGGGGAATATAGCACAGGCGCCTATATTGGGGTTTAATTGCTGGAAATATTTCAGAACTGATGGCTCACGTTCGTTTGCCGGCAGTCAGGCACGCCTCTGCCGGTTATAGACTGTAGGCAGTTTATTACACGACACCGGTACTGTCGGAAGAAAACTAAGGCGATTAACTTAAGACAGAGAGAAAGATTAGTTGCAAATTCATCTATTTGGTCGTCTTTCTAATTCAGAATTTTCAAATATTGAGCGTGTAGAAAGTTTAATGTATCGTACACTAAAGAATTTATTTTCGTTATTAATTTTTTTTATATTTTGTTTGTTACTGTGAAGCACGTTGATATTCGTTATTTTGTATGTGTTTTGCGTATGTATGGACAAACACAGCATTAGCTAATCGTGAATGTTTAGGTAAACAAGTCATTGCAATATTGACGGTATTATTGCATGAATTGTTTTGTATGAGTCATATGTTATTAGGATCCTTATAACAACAACAAAAAAAAAGTCATGGACCCACAAGCAGTTTGGTTCACAAATCGTTTAGAAAAAAATTGTTTAAAAAGTTCATGGACCCCATAAGTACTTCTAGGGTGAATGAGATCTTGCCAGATATATTGTGTTTTGTTGTTGTTAAAAATAACGATGTCTCGGGTGTAAAAGTACTTTTTGAAGTTTAGAAAAAATTACACGAACACAACTGACTAAAGATATATTCTGAACTAGCTAAAATCAGGGGTTTGATTCCCTTTGGTGGACACAGCAGATAACCTGATGTGGCTTTGTTATAAGAAAAACACACACAAGGTTATGGGGGTGGAGAAATTCATAACAATTAGAGTGGTTACAGAACAGAAGCTAGCACATCAGGAATAATGTTCTTTTTTTTATTTTTGTGTACGGTAAAATCACTATCCTATTGGTTATTTTTTTATTTTTTGTGTACGGTAAAATCACTATCCTATTGGTTATTTTTTTATTTTTTGTGTACGGTAAAATCACTATCCTATTGGTTATTTTTTATTTTTTGTGTACGGTAAAATCACTATCCTATTGGTTAGAAAGACTGATACTATGTGTTAGTTTGGATGATAAAATTCTCATTTCTGCTTTATTTAACCTTCCTTAACAAACTATCTTTCCCCAGTTATAAAAGTTGCTAAGTTGCTTTTCTTTCAAGTTATGCTTTCTTAAAGATTTGGTATACAACTGTTTTGTTGACAAAACCTTAAATGGTTTTATTGAAACAAACAACAAAGAAAGATTGGTTTCTAATAGAAACACTTGAATGTTTGTGACGTTTGGTAAACAAAATATAAGAATAACATTTTAATTCTGTTTGTTTGAATAATATCAGGAACTTTTGAAGACAAAGAAGTGACCCATGTGGAAGGTGATATTAACCCTGTTCGTGATATTGAAATAATTAATGAAGAGCTTCGTTTGAAGGATGAAGAGTATATTCTTGGAACTATTGATAAGATGGAACGTACTGTACTCAGAGGTGGTGACAAAAAAGCCAAGCCAGAATATGTAAGATTTCTGTTCAAAAAGCTAATTGAAATGTAAGATGTTTGTTTTAGATTTATGTTCTGAAAGTTAAGCCAAATGTAAGATATTTATTTTAGGTTTTGGTTCAGAAAGTTAAGCCAAATGTAAGATATTTATTTTATTTTCCTGTTCAGAAAGCTAAACCAAATGTAAGATAATTGTTTTAGGTTTCTGTTCAGAAAGTTAAGCTAAGTGTAAAATATTTGTTTTACGTTTGTGTTCAGAAGCTAAACCCAGAAAATGCACTTTGCTTATTTTAGGTTTCACTTTAGAAAAACTTATAAGACATTTCTTTATAGAGTTTCTTTTCAGAAAGTAAAGAGATAAATAAATGAATAAAACATGTTAAACGCTAATGTGCACTGTTTTCTGGTTGTTGATTTTTTTTTGTTACAAGCATATGAGCTGAAACATGAAACATTCTGGTAAGTTTACAATGTTGCCATAAGCCTGACTAATACTTTATAACTATAGAAAAAAACAGTAACTGAACAGCAAAAACTATTAAGAGTTTAAGGTGAAAATTTTGAAACTCCTTCATCTTCATAAACTTTGTAATTTCAGCTAAAGAGTACTTACTTCAAACATGCATATGCAAATTTAGATTTTGCAAATAAACAGATTATGATTTGCATATTTCAGGACATCCTCTGTAAAATTAAACATCTTCTTGTTGAGGAAAAAAAGCATGTACGGTTTAGTGAATGGAATGCTCATGAGGTAAGTTTTATTGTATTGCTAATGTTATATATACAGATATGTCTTACATATGCTCATGAGGATAAGTTTTATTGTATTGCTAATGTTTTATATACAGATATGTCTTGCATATGCTCATGAGGTAAGTTTTATTGTATTACTAATATTTTATATAGAGATATGTCTTGCATATGCTCATGAGGCAAGTTTATTGTATTACTAATATTTTATATAGAGATATGTCTTACATATGCTCATGAGGTAAGTTTTATTGCATTACTAATATTTTATATAGAGATATGTCTTACATATGCTCATGAGGTAAGTTTTATTGCATTACTAATATTTTATAT